ATCTATAACAACTTGGTAGTGGTGTTTTTTGCCAGACACTCCTCACACACTTTACACAATCAAGATACTTATTCTATAAATAAATTACAGCTATATGGTCTCTATAAATCCAAGTTGACAATAATCAAAAAGTGCCTACCTTTACATTTTAATATACATTTGGTTTTAAATGTATTACTTAAAAGAGGCTTATGATCATATCCTGTTGAAATACCAGTTCCCTTACAATCAACAAAGTTAAGCAACATCTAGCCTTATTAGTATCTAGATGGGTGGCTGCTTGGGAATACCAGATGCTGCAAGCTTGTATGTGCAAGTGGTTTAATAGACACTGACTTGGAATTGTCAATATTTCTGAGATGAGGTATTATGTACACTATTTACATTATTCAGACTATTGTCCTCATCTTTGTTGCCATATTTATCACAACATTTCTGCCATTGTATGCTCCGGCCTTCTTCAGGTGATTGGGATGTCAAACTGAACCCTTTATTTTGCTCACTGAGGTAGACTGTTCTAGTTCCACATGCCATGTCTAATGGATGTTAGTTATCAGTTATCTCCTGTTAATTCACCTCTCCAAGTTCTCCACTGCCTTAACCCAGTATTGAACTCACACTCTTTGGGTCCTGTCACTGTCTTAGATCTAGTGACTTGGAATTGTTAATTGGAGAGCCAAGTTCCAATTCCTCTTGGGTTAATTATATTCACTTATGCACAAATACTCTAAGAAAAGGTATGAATCCACCACTTCTCCCCCTAGATTTGGGTTAATTAGTAAAGCTTGTGTCACTATCTCAAAAAAAAAAAAAAAATTCTTACAATCTAAAAATATTTTCTAGCCTTAAATAACCTGCAAAGGGTTTATTAGTCATATAAAACGAATGAATCACTCAACCACTTAAAAGATATTTGCCCAGAAATTGGAAATCATGAGCTGCATTCAAATTCTGATAGTCTGTTGCATTTCACAATAATGTGCTTAGGAACGGTATGAATCCATCTCTTCTCCTCCTAGCTATGGGTTAAATAGGAAGATAGACTGGCCTCTCAAGGCTTGAGTGGTAAAAAATCTGACAGAAGAAAGCCTTGAATACAAAACCATGAAGAAGGCAACAGAAAATGCATTCACCATCTTTCCAAAGAATGCATGACAATTCACAGATAATAAAGAAAGATCAGTGAAAAGTGATGACCATGTATGTCCTGAAGGGACATGACATAAAAAAATAAATATGTTCTTGCAATTCACACATAATAAACAAAAGGAATTTGTGGAGAGCCATGACCAACTACACCCAGAAAGGACACATTAAAAAAAAAATATATATTTGTAGATAATGCTATACTTTTATAATTCTGACCCCTTTTATTATACAGATTTACTTCTCGTTATTTATATACTTATATAAATAATCCAAAAGTCTATTTTATTCATGTTTTTAGGATTATGTAGATAAATATTGAAATATTATTAAAAGTGATTCATATTTCTTATTTGAGAATCATTTGTGTTTATATAATTTTCAGTGCTGCTAAAATTTGAATTTCAACTGAATACTCATTTCTTCAGTTTCATGATTTTTAAGAACCCAATATATGGAACCAGTTTTAAGGATTACTGTTATAATAAATTCTAGAAAAAAACATCCATAAGTCATTGATATTTCATTAACTAAAAAGAAAGTGTGGTATATTTAAATATTTACTTTCATTCTATATGTTTTTCATTAGAAGATTTTTAATCAGAATTCATAACTGTATACATTAAAGGCTCTTTTTGTTTTTCACCGTCATTTGTTTGGATCAAATTGATGAACAATACTAAAATGAATTAAAAATGACTGTTTATTCATTAAATGGAAGCTTGGTTATTTTGCAATTTTTTTTAAAATTTCTGTCATAATATATCTTGAAGAAAAATCAAAATATGGAAGCATGGTCAAAAAATTGCATGAGAAAGAAAAATCAAAAATCCACTGAAGATGTACAGCCATACGAACATGCAGATCAATTCTGAAAAATCCTTCGGTTTTAAGATGGAAACATTTTTAACTTATATAGTAGACATATATATTTGGGGGAATTAGAGTCACTAAATATAGTAAAGAATTTAATCAATCTTTTTGCTATGTAAGCATTGATTTTTTACTGATTGAGCATAAAATAACTTACCTTGATATTTCTTTAGAGGGTAGTAAAAAATCAATCATCAGAACTTACCTGAAAAAGAAAATAAAATAAGGTAAGTGATGACAAAAAACCCCCACAAAAACATAGAAGCATAAAATTTTATGAGATATATTTAATTACTGTTTTTTTTTTTTATTTTATACATCTACAGGATGAAAAGGAATATTTGGAAAATTTATTACTAGAATAGTCAGTGAAGAAATCAGAAAGTCAATAGTTTGATTTCCTTTGATATCAAATAATATTTTGCCATTAATGAAAATCACTAAAATACATACTTGCTGGACAAAGCCAGATTTGGAAGGC